AATTCTATGGAAAGATCCTTCTTCATCAGAAAGTGGTGAGGTGAGCATGGAGTCATTGGGGAGAGGAGGGGAGGCTCCTTCCCCAGGGTCAAAGGTAGGTAGTAAAAGGAAGAAGGGAGGATGCTTCATTTCCTTTTGGTGTTCCTGTGATGTTCCCACCCATCTTCCTGATGCCGTTTGGAGGAGGTATGGACAGGCAGAGGATGGGGGACTGCTGTATTCCAGAAATACATGCTCATGACTTGCTTCTGAATCTCTCTGCTGCTTCAGAACGGATTGTTTTGTCAATGCCAGAGACCCGTCTGTCATTAAGAGGATGAGGTTGTCCATTCCACCTTGCTGTAGAAGGATTTTGAAGGATCTAAGATGTGGTGGTGAAGACAGAAGCGCTAGATCAGAGCTGTCTAGTTGGTGACCTGTAGGAACCTGCAGCTGCCTCTCCCAGAGTTGTGCAGAGGGGGATCCCTGGGGCCTGCTCCTGCAGCATATGGCTGGCATGGTGTGTAGTGTAGGGGCTACTACATGCTGATGATGTATGCAGTTCCCAGTTGCAGAGAAGTTGGACAGCCCTGCGCTAAATCATCAGACAATCCCCCTTGGTAGTTTAAAAAGCATTGTAAACTTGGGACGGAGTCTAGTTACCAATGTGGCTTTACCATGTAGTCCAGACTGGCATCTGGTGGCTATTGTGCAGCATTGCATACTCTAGACCAAACAGCACTGACTGAATTGGGGGTGACCAACCTGTGCTATAACCTATGCTACAAGTGTCACAGGCAGCCTCTGTGTGTGGCTTGCAGCAGATAGGACAAAGAAGGGAGCGTTGGCACAGCAGCAGATAGAGGAGGAAACAGAAAGGAGAGAAGGAGATGAGGCAGGGGGCACTAAATCGGAAGCAGCAAGCAGAACAGGAGATGGGGGAGGGGGCACAGAGTAGTGAACAGGAAGTAGAGCAGCAGATCAGGCTGGGGAAGGGGAGTGGAATGGCACTTAGAGAAGGCAGGGTTAATTTGTGGTATGACTGCCAAAAATGTTGGCTCTTGGTGGGGTAAATAATTGTACCTTGCCTTTGCAGCCCCAAATGGCGAGTGACTTGTGCAATTAAATTGTTTGCAGTTCCTGCATTAGTTGCTGAAAGTAGTGTTGTTTCTTTGATAGAGTCCTGGGCTGGGACCGAAGGATACCTGGGTTCTATTCCTAGTTCTGACACTGGTCTGCAGGGTGACCTTGTGCAAGTTTTCTGGGATTGGCCTGTTCTCATTCGAATCCAAGAATAATAATGCTATCCTAGATAAATAGGACCACACACAATCATTTATTTCAGCCCTCTTCTCAAGGCAGGATCATTCCTGTGTAAAACATTGCAGACAATTGTTTGTCTAACCTGCTCTTAAACTTGCAGTGATGGAGATTCCAGAACCTCTCTAAGGACTCTTCCAATGCAAAACCCATGTAATGAGAGAACTCTTCTTGATATACAACCTGAATTTCCTTTGTCACAATTTAAAACCATTATTACTGTCCTTCTCTGTGTCCCAGGGAATAGGCTATCGCCACTCTCTATGTAATAACATTTTGTGTATTTGAAGACTTATCAAACAGTTTCCTGGCCTTGCTTATTGAGTCAGGAACTTGTTTCTTGTTTATACAGGTCCTAGCTCAGTGGGTGTCAGGGTTTCTAGGTTAAGCCTGGACTGAAATACTAGGTCACCCTAAACTAGAGCTCTCCCATTGAACTTATGAACTATTGCCAGATAAGCAAGTCCCTTTCACTGGGCTGTGGAGACTTGAAATGCAACCCCTGATTAGCTGATGTGATCAGTAGGTCTGGAATTTGTTGCAGCTTCTGCATGCTTTCACAGGTGGTCAGTACTGAAGCCTGTAACTAGTGCCCCAAGACCTTTTCCAGATCTTCAGTTAGTATCTTGGTCTCAGTCTGTCTCTTGCCTGTGGCTGGCAATCCTCTGCTTGTTTTCTGGTTCCAGACCTTGGTCTTTACTGTTGAGGCTGGGCTGTACCCAGCCTGGTATGGTTCAGCCAGCCCTCTTCAGCGACCACCCTCTAGTGTATGCTTGCGTCATACACTACTGATGTTTCCCTTGTTTCGGACATGGTGGGATGTGAGTAAGGTGTGCATCAGGCATCACTGTTGCTACTACACCTGGGGACATGCTGGACAGCAAGAAGTGGTTAGAGAGCAGCTCAAGAGGGAAGTGTTAGAGCTAGAGAGGTGTCTGGCTGCTGACTCAGACAACCCATCACTCTGTGGAAAATCAGGAGAGGCAGAAAGGGCTCTGAGTTCTGGGTGACTGCCTTGCCCATGGCACATTCATCTGGAGGAGTTGGACTCACAAGCAGGCGATGGACTTCTACCCCTTGTATAAGAGAAGGGGTGCCAAGAAGTCTGTTGCTTGCCTCCTGTTGGAGGATGGCATCCCCCTCGTGGATCCTGGCAAGCTGCAAGAAAGGGCAAGAGCTTTCCACACAATGCTCAACTCATTGGATCCAGCCGACGCTGGCACCTCCCAGGTCCTGTGGTAGGGACTGCCACAGGTCAGCATGGGTGCTGAGGACCAGCTGGAGGGTCATAGAATCATAGAATGCTTGAGTTGGAAGGGACCTCAATAGGTCATCTAGTCCAGGGGTTGTCAACTGGGGGGGTACTCATACCCCCAGGGGTACTTAGAAAGGTCTTTAGGGTACGTGTGGGTGGGCAGGCAGGGACGGAGCGTGCCCTGGGGCGCACTAGTGGCAGTGATTCTCTGTCCCTGCCTGCTACACACACACACACACACACACACACACACACACACACACACCCTGCCTTTCGTTCCCTGCCCCGCCCCCCCCCAATAGCGCAGCCCTGTGCTCCCTGGTCCGGCAATGCAGCTGGGACCCATGTGGGGCAGGAAGAGAGTGAAATGGCTGGGGGTAGGCGGGCCTGGGCTGTTCAGTCCTCCTGAGGCTCCTCCTGGGTCCTACTGCCCCTGGCATTTCTCAGCTTTGACAGGCTACTGGGGCAGATACATATTCATTTTCTAAATGTTTTAGGGTCCCCATGGGCCATATAGAATGGCCTGGTGGGCCAGATCCAGCCCACGGGTCGTATTTTCCCCTCCCCTGTCCTAGACTATACCAGACAGGGGTAGAAAGATCTCTCTGCATTGGCCCAGGCCTATAGAGCTGCCCATGCTATATGCTTCCTGCCACTTTCTCCAGGAGGTAAAGGCTGTCCTGTCACTCACTGGCCTTGCCTATATTAACCAGGTCCTGCATGAG